TGGGTTGGACATAATTGGAATTTCGTTTCCATACATTTTGGGGTTTTCCGAAAACTTGATTATTTGTTGGAAATCTACTTTGAGGAGGATTTGGATGCCTTTGAATTTGAATAGGCCCTCTGAGGAATTGAGATGAGGTTGAGGATTGTGAATAATTCTGATAATGATCTGGAGAATTTTGGGGAAATCGAAATGAATTTGGACGATTATAATTATTATTGATAGGATTTATTGGTCTCTTGGAAATATTACTAGCGGATTGATTTGAATTTAGAATAATTTTGACCTTTTTGATAATATTTAACATTATTTTCCTTTCATACAAATTGAATTGGCTGTTGCGAAGTTGTCGGTCTCATTGCACGAATTATAGGACATAATGGGTCTTTTAACCCAGCTAAAAATGATTTTTAACCCTGTTTAGTAAAAAATTATCTTTTTGAATCTCGTTCAGCCCCTTGGCAATGTAAATCAATATAATTGCAAACTATATTAGGCAAAGCGATAATTCTTTTATGAAATTAATAAGGAGATTTGTTATTTCCCTGCTTCATATTAACTAAATCTTGATTATTTAAATAATTTTCGTCTCTTTCATCATCAAAATTTTCGATTAATGCATTTTTTATATAACGCCAAGTATCGGCACCGGCAATTGTCACTACTTCCTCAGCTCTACCTTCTAACTTATTTAAAATACCATTTAATAGTAAAACATTTTGAAAATTATTAGGATTTTCCCTATCATAATAATGATTTAAAATTGATTCCGTTGTATTGATAAATCTATGTAATTTATTAACGTTTCCGTCAAAAGTTGGAATAACAGTTAGACTTTTCATATCTAATACCGGAACGACCATGTTTTCAACAAAAATTAAATTATTAAAATTATTTATTAGCTCTGAATCTACGGTAGTTGAATCTAATATAATATTAATATAATCTAACACTTCTATACTATCGATTTCGCTTAAGGATGCGCTAGGAGAAGAGGAGTCTGACATGAATTTAAACTTACCACATCGGTATATTGCTTCTGCGGCTGGTACTTTTTCTGTTACCCACTGGTTTCCTCGATGGAGCCAAAAGGAACTGGAATTTCTTAATTGGATTCAGTTTTTCGTTAAAGAGTTAAAACTCACGGGTTTTCCACGATGGATTTTTCCGACAAATGAAGCTGTAAACCGCAGTTCTTTTTTAACTGGAGTATCTGTTTCAACAATTGAACGTATTGTACGCGAAAAGACAAAAAAGGCTCCTTAGAAGCCCTTAAAACGCATACCCGTGGTCGAAAATTGTTGAAATTGGACGATAACCAAAAACAAATCATTCGAAGGATTGTACTTTCTTTTTTTTTTTTTCGAAAACAGAGCCCCAAAACTTAAAGTTGTTCTTACGAAATTAAGAGAAAATGAAGAAATTCTATTAATGAGCCGTGAAACTTTACGAAAATTTTATGGGGTCTAAAATTTCGTTTTGTCAAACGGTGTAGGAAATCAATTTTAATTGAGAGGTCAGATATAGTGTCCTGGCGACGGCGTTATTTACGAAATATTAAAGAGTTTAGATACGCTAAAAAAATATATACTATCTTGATGAAACGTGGGTGAATGCTGGATACACGGTATCTAAGATATGGCAAGATACTTTTGTAACTAGTCATCGCCAAGCTTTTATAGACAGATTATCTACAGGTTTGAAAGCACCATCAGCTAAAGGACAGCGCATAATTGTTACCCATATCGGAAGTAACGGTGGATTTTTGGAAAATAGCGCTCTTGTGTTTATATCGAAAAAACAGGAAACTACCACGAAGACATAAATGCGGAATGCTTTGAAAAATGGTTTACTGAAGTATTACAGCGTGTAGAACGAAATTCAGTTATTGTACTAGATAACGCTTCTTATCACAGTCGACGAGTTGAACGCATTCCGATAATGTCCAGTATGAAAGCGGATATACAAACCTGGCTGCAAGATAAAGCAATAACATTTACTGAGGAGGTGCTTAAAGTGGAATTAATGGACCTAATAAAGGAACACCGCCATAAATATATTCAATATGTTGTCGACACAATGGCTCGTGATCGTGGTATTACGGTACTAAGACTTCCCCCTTATTACTGCGAATTCAATCCTATTGAACTAATTTGGGCGCAAATGAAAGGGTTAGTAGCACGAGGAAATAAAACTTTTAAAATAGCCGATGTTCAAAGTTTATTAAAAACCGGTATAGAACGTATAAAACCTGAAGATTGGCAGAATGCTATTTCCCATGTTATTAAGGAAGAAAATAATGTGGCGCTTGGACGGTATGATCGAAACGGTAGTTGAACCTTTAGTCATAACTTTAAGTTCCGACGATAAAGACGATTCCAGTGATAGTTCTGCAGAACCAATGGATTACCAAACTTTATAGATTTAGAATTCAAGTAAGTGATACCAAGCTTAATTTACGTATTTTTATAATAAACAAAATACAATTATAAACATAGATGAATTATTATAACAAAAATAGATAACCAACCTAATTTCATCTAGTAATATTCACAAATACTCATTTAATTTGCCAATATAGTATTTCTGCGACACTGCAAGAGTGTATTTTGATATGATAACGATACCTTTTGCAGTTTTAAGGCGCACCTTCTTCAATATTTTATTCTAGTATAATACCCCATTTAATTTTCCAATAGTGTTTCTATACCACTGGCATAATATTTACATATTTTAGCAATAAACAAAACGAAATTATAAACATAAATAATTATTACTACAAACATAGATAACCAACCTACTTTTATATAATATTATTTACTATTACTGCATTTAATTTGCCAATAGTTTTTATACGCCACTGGCGTAACACATTTTAGCAATAAACATGCATTTATGACTAGTTGGCACGTGATACCGATTTTGCAGTTTTAAGCGCGTGATTCCATTCATTATGCTCTGTTATAGTATGATTGTTGTACGTGAACAGGAAGGAATCACCTTCTTCAATATTTTGTCCGAGTACAGTTGGTTATGGCTTTTAATAATTAGGGATCAGGGGTACTAAAATGTCCTACAATTTAACACACAAAGTTTCTAAATAATATCTATGTAAAAGTTATAAGTGTAAAGTGTATCACATAATGTTAATAAAAACCAAGAAGGTTGTGTTTTTTATTTATGGTAGCTGGAGGTTAAGATTTCAGCTGTTCCAGGTAGGTACAAAAAACTTGACCATTTCACCTAAAGAGACGACGAAAACCTTAGGTAAGGTATGATACAGGATGATAATTATTTATGACCTGATAGAAATTGAATAAAAATTTCTGTTTTTACAACTCTTTCTAATCTTAAACCTTAGGCATGCCCCTTTATTTTTCCAAATATTTCTAAATATTTGTCAAAACATGCACCACCTACTCAACCTAGAAAATCACATACTGAAAGAAAAAAAGGAACTCATCGAACGTTGTTTTAAAAGACTGATATTATCAAAAGTTATGGGTTTTAGTGTCAAATTTTAAAACGAAAATATCTTAATAATGACTGGTGCGTTAAAATAGTTGAAAATCTTAAAATCTATTTTTATAGGCTAAATATGGAACACGAGTGGTTAAGTATTTTATCCACGGCCCTGAGATAAGAACTTCTTATCCTACTTATTTTGCGTGAGATAAGAAGTTTATTAACGCACGCGTTTTTCTTATCTCACTGCTTTTCAATCAATAAAATAAAAAAGTCAAAATGTATTTAAATTAATAATACATTACCGTCAGAATCTAAAGTTACAATATTTAATATTTAAAGCGTATTCTTCAATATCAGATCGCAAACTTTCCGAATCACCCATTTTATTAGTAGAAAATGCAAAAATACGTTAATAATTAATTATTTTTGACAATATTATCGTTGCTAAGAAAACAAAACGTTTTTATTTAATTGTTAGATCCGCCACCCAACATTTCGATGTGTGGCCAATCGACATGTAGACAGTGGTGGAGAACAATAACTCTAAATTAAGTCTTAGATAAAAATTATAATAACCGTTTATTTTTACATTTAAAGGTGTAGATAAAAATTTGTACAATATACATGTAATTACGCTTTATTAACGTATTTCTGCATGCGTACGTTAATAAAGCTCTTATCCCACTTATATCGTAAATAACTATTATCGCACTTTGTAGCGCATAGATTGGATGCTTTTATTAGCTACATTAAGGTATTTTTCGGGGCATAAACCTATATAAACGTTTGTTTGGTAAATTATGTTATTTAGGCATGATCTTCCATTTTGGCCGACATCAAGGACCGGAGGGGAGGTTGTAATGACGTCATTGCTAAGCATACTCGAACATGATCTCTACACAAGCGGTTATGTTAATTCATGTGTTTGACAAATGACTAGAGACGGTATACAAAGAAAAAAGATGGCTCTAATTTTATATTTTAAATTAAATAAGATTGAAATTGAAGTAGAGGAAAGTGACGAAATTGTTCAACAATTAAAATATAGTAAATATAAATTGAAATAGCGTAAGCAAAATTTGTTGTTAAATATTAATATAAAATAATTAAACTGTTTTTACTCTTAGGAATAATCGCGTGGTTTTCACACACATGAGTAATTGAAGTAATAAAAAATTGGTACTTTAACTGACTGCCCACTTTCAGAACAGCATGGATTTTCCATTTTCGCGCCAATATAACCTATATGTGGTGGGGGTATAGGCGAACATGATCGAACAACATAACCCGTTTATAACGCGAATAATACCTTAGTGTTGCCATGGTTTGTTCATGGCTAGAAGTAGAGTCGGTAATGGCACTGTTTTCACTGTATATCCGCAACGCAAAAGTACGGTGGTTGAAAATAGTAGTGTTGCAAAAAACAGCATTCGTTTACGTTTTGTTTTATTTAAGTATATTACCCTTGAAAAAGTATAGTGTTTTACTAGTCGAAAATCATTTACGTTACTCGTGAAATATTATATTATTACCTTTTTTTTCCTGTGTGTTAAAACGAATAGAAATTCCAGCACCATATTCTTCGGGAACTACATTTTTTGCAGAAATCTAAAAACAATTCAATTTGGTTAGTTTTCTATTCAAAGTTTGTGTGGTTTTGTTTTGTAGAAATGTTTAAAATACTTTTTTCACTATAATAATAATATTACTTTCCCTAATTCTCCCCCTTACAAATTTCAAACCCTGAAGCCGGTAAGCGTCTTGTGTAGGGGAAGGGACAGTTATTATTATTATTTACCGTGGCGCTTCGTTGCGACTTAAAGATTATTGTTGGCGCCATTTGACTTGATGAGGAAAACCTTACCCACCATCATCTAAAACGGTAACGCATGGCGATTTTTATAATCTGGATGTCATATCAACAAAAATTAATGTTTGTAAACAAAATGACCACTGCGTGATCAGGACATAATGGTTCATGAATTAGTTGCTTCTTGCAATTAAGGCGGTAACTGACTTGAAATGGGTTTTGTAATACGTGTGGATTAAGTGTTCGTTCTTGTACTATTAAGTGTGTAAAATATAGTCCAAAAGATGATCACGAATTTTGTGAAGGTAATTTGAAATTATGAAACAGTTCTATATAGATGTTATCGAATCTGGAATCGAGAGCCAGTAAGGGACCTTGCATTTATTTTGCTTCTGCGCAGCATATGATATTAACAAGAAATTAATTAACAAAAAATTACCTTTGGGCACAAGAGTTATTTTATTATTTTTTAATTTAACATTCATGGAATCTAAATATTAAAATCCCAGACTATTTTGATGGTTTTGGAGTATGACCAGACTGTTCCGAATTACTTTTATTAATATACGCCAAAAATATTTTTATAGCAAATATTAATTAATATTGAAAATGTCTACCAAAAGGCCTGTAGAATATGATAGTCCTTCATCTGACTGCAAAAAGTGGTATTTGCATGTTTTTTGCTTGCTTTTTTTTAGTTAAATACAGAGAAGGATGGATAAATAACGTGTACTATATCCCGGTAGTGGGAGTTGTCGTGTTGTCTGTCAAACACAAAATAATTTTTTCGTTTTTTCGTTTTTTGCTGGCAATGAAATAGTTTTCCAATAAGAGATAGAAGTTTCTCTGTAAAGTACATACAGTTCACTGGTACATCAGCTATAAAGAGAAGAAGAAACGAATAGGAAGAAATAACGGCAGCGGAAGTAAGGAAGAAGCCGATCGCAAAAATCACCAAACACGCCAAAATACTGAGAGAGTTGGTAAAGGCTATACCTAACACAAAAGCTATGATAAAAAAGAGATCTTTTTATACAATGGAGATAGTTAACCAAAAGAACTGAGATGATGAAATTGTAGATCGACCAGTTAAACCCCGAGTAGAAATAAAAATCATGGCATCGATATCTATGCAAACGGAAACAGAAAGAATGGACGATGAGAGCCAGGACAAAAAGGAAGGAGAAACAAAAGAGATTGGCATCCAAGTAAATATGGATGAAAGCAATGATACGGAGGGAATTATAAAAATTCTGAAAGAAAAGAGAATTTTTAAAGAATATGAGCATCTCTTAGCCAAGCAATGGTCAAAAGAGGTATATTCTAGTACAATGGAGGACAGCAGCAATCCAGTAAACATGGACTGGGAAATGTGTGCAGTCATTCACCAGGAAGATAAAGGGGAAAAGAGTATATTGAGGTTACTACAAGGACGATATCCAGAGATTAAGCAAATAAGGGAAGCCGGAATGAATGAAGGCCAAATCGAATGTATAATGAACACATCAAATGCCAGAATGAGTAAAGGTGGAGGTGAACAGAAAACTAGAAACGTCTACCTACTTCCCTATGCTGTCGCCAAGGGTTTTTTTTATAAATGACATGAAAACGTTGCACGAATACTTATTTAAATCAAGGGGATATTCTACAAGAGCATTGGAAAGTCTAGCTAGAGTTTTAGCCACAGAATGGGTATTTTATGGAGAAGAGGTCAAGTTTAAGTATCTTATACCAGGAGCCTAAAGAACAAAGGAGAAAGGAAGGCAATAAGAAGAACAGCCAAGGAAGAAAATTGATGCAGTCTTAATAAAAACAAAAGGCACATCTTATCTGGCTATACTGAAAACTGTAAAAAAGTGCTATTTAGTGGTATACGGAGTAAAAGAAACTTGAATAGGAGTGTATGGGCCGAGAACCAAGCACTCTGAAAGCTTCGAAAAATACCCAAGCATCTTCCAGGCAGAAATTCACGCCGTCGAGAAGAGTATCCAGTTTAACATCGAGAGAAACCATCATAGACAAGAGATTATCAGCATGTCCGATAGGCAAGCAGCCATCAAAGCGCTGAGCTTTTACGTAATGAGCTCAAATATGGTCTGGAGATGCCTATAACAATTAAATGAGCCAATTGACTTACTTGGGTACAGGGTAACGAGATTGCACATAGTCTTTCAAGAAAAGGGGCTCAAACACTCTTTGTAGGACTTAAGCCGTTCTGCGGTATCAGCAATAACATAATATTAGAAGAGATTAAAAATGAATTGAGCAGTAGAAGAACTGATAATTGGAACAATCTCTTGAGGCTAAGATACTTCTGGGTGAATATAACCAGAAAAGATCAGAAGCCTGCATCTGCCCGAGCAAAAACAGGCTATGTATTATAACAGGCAATTGTGCCCCACGTTGGGCGCCAATGTGTTACCTTCTTTTTGATTTCTACGATGTCAATTGTACTTAAGAGGTGATTTAGCTTAAATTGCTGATACTGCGTGGATTCATAAATTGACCAGGACAAATGAAATCAGAGTAGCTTGACCGGTTCGCGGGCCAAAGTCTACTTTACGATAAAATAAAAGATACTATAATACTGGCGCAAATCTAGTATTTGCCCAACTAAAAATCATAATAGCTATTCAACAAAAAAAGTAAATTTAGGATCAAGTCCAAAGACTAACAAGCCCTAGCTAATTGTAGTATTTGCCAAACTAAAATCCACAATATTTATCCTCCCAAAAATTATAGGATTATATGATCAAGTCTAACTAACAAGCCCTAGCAAATTGTAGTATTTGCCAAACTAAAAATACACAAGGTAGGCTCGTACTACACAAGGCATGAACTTGGTTAAACAAAGAGAAAATTTATCAAAGCAAAAAAATTTAGGAATTAATTCCAAGGACTACCAAGTATGCCCTAGTAAATTAATTATAGCATCTACCAAGCTAAAAACCACGATAAATACAAAATAACCCTCCTTAAACTAAACTAACGATTACTTTAATTGAGAGGCTGATCGAAGGCTCTCCTCTGATCATCTCAAGATCAGGCAAGACCACCCATTCCCGAAATGTCCAATAGAGTGTTTTCTGATTATGTTGGAAACACATATGTTAAAGGTGCGTGAACTCAGGCGCAGATTCACCTCGTCCCTTAACCTATGTCTCATTCCTGAAATGGACAATCCGTCTTTACTTAGGAATCACAGAGTCAACACCATTCAGGTCCTCAATTTCCAGCAATAGAAAAGCTGCCAACCGGTAAAGATATAGCTCCTACGGGCTGAAACAGTTAATTGAAGATTAACCGGGATAAGTTACAGAGGTCAAATCCAGTATAAAGAAAAAAGCGTAAAAACCGGAGGATTTAAAAAGATGGAAAGATAAACTGCCACCCACATTTCAACAACAAATACGAAGTTAACTAACAAAGATAACTGCACCCACTCAAGTCCAGTATAGAGGTTATATGGATGGAAAAGTACAAACCCCCTTGAAGTACCCTCATTCGAACCCTCGTAACCCTAAGGCCGAACTGAACTTCAAATGGACATATTCAATATTCTATAAGATACAGCAAAAAAAAATTAAAATGCAAAAAGAAAAAAGTAAAAAAGATGAATTTGTACACTTTCTTTTATTTGCCAGAACTCATAGAGATAACTTTAAGTACCAGAGACTGACTCAATTAAACAGGGCATATCAAATCAGATAAGTTTTCCAAGTTACTCAAAATAAATATTCAAAAGAAAAGACACGAATGTCAATAAAATCAGCAATTAGGTCGGTCATTAATCTAGTCAATGGCTTGCATTGAACTAGAGAATTCAAAGTAAAACGTTGGCATTGTAACAAGTACAACTGTCACGTAAATGTTGGATTTAAATAGAGAGACTAGACAGTCCCGAAACACCGTAATGTGTAAAGTTTTGTGCAGCAATTGATTTACATATATTTTTTTTCTATTTTCGTCCCGAGTATTATATTTATCTTATATAGATTTTATATCATTATCTAGTTTACAGTGCTATTTTAGTTGTTAATGAGTCCAAACTATAATTCAATAGACATTTTAGTTGTTAATAAGTCCAAACTATAATTTAATAGACATTTTATCTAGTTGCCATAAATTATAGGTCTTTATTAATAGTTAGGATATGTTATCAATTAATGCTGTATTCCCTAAACATAACTTGATTTATTTATTCTTGAGACTATTATTTTATTATTTTATAATTATTACAAATATACATTTGTTACTGTTTTAATAATTATTCTTAATTTATCCTTCCCTTTCCAAAACCAGTTATGAAATATTTCGAGCATTTAAGCTAGTTGGTTATTACTCCATTCTTTCGAAGTAATGCTGTAAAAAGGAGCTTCATTAATGGGAGTTTTTGCGGAAAAATGATGTCTTTTGCACCTACATTCTAGACTTGTGGCTAAGTCGGTTCAACCATATCAGTCCGTCTTCATTTATTATAGGCGAGAGTATTTTCAGTCTACTGTTTAGTTTTATATGTTAAAGACAAAATACATTATTATTAGGAAAATACTTTATTATCAGTGCTTGACAAATATCACAAAAACTTCTCATAACAAAACAATATAGCATTTTGATTTGCATAATTTATAAATACCTAGCATTAGCGAGGCACACTATCTAATATTATGTCTTGATTTTATGCAAGATATTTACATCTTGGGAGAATACTTGACATTGCTTGATAAGTCGAAGTTCCGTTTCTGTTATGTCTTCTAACGTTAGAGTTTCAGGAAGAGTGACTATTTCATTTCTAATCCGAAGCAAAAGGTTTTTAGCAAATCGTATCACCCGCGCTAGCTGTTGATCTGAGTAATTTTGCCCATTTTGAAAATCTATCAATTTTTGGTTGCGTCATTGTCTATTGTAACTGTTAGGATTTCCATAGAACTTTCCGGTGGTTTTGGATACTCAAACTTTTTGTCAATTGGCCAATTACTTTCGTGTCTCAAATATAAGAATTCAGGGCCTCTGTACTAACCAAGTTGAGTATGTTAAGATCACTATTTGTCCTTGCATATGTTCTGGTAGTTTGATCAGCATCGTTGTTTGCATTTCCGGGTAAATTGTCAGTGCTGTGGCTTGAGTAAGGATTTATAAAATTAGTTTATTCTGCGTTCTTGGGAATTTTAGTGAGTGACTTGTATTTGTATCGTGTTTTACTAAATTGTTTTCTTGTGGTTATTATTTAATCAAGATGGCGTTGTGGAGACCTTTTCTTAATTTTTATGATGTTAAAACGGACAATGTTGAAGGCTCGGTTGAAGAAAATTCTATGACGGAGTCGTCAGAATTTTTAAATAAAGACTTGCATCCTCAAACCAAAAGACTTATTTTAAATATTTACACTTGCTTGAAAAGTGAAAGCGTGGAGCCTCACAAAACAAAATTTAAAAAAGGATTTGTGAGCTGACTAAACTTCCTCGTTCTGTTAGAGCAGGATATGTCATTGATCATTCCGTAAAACAAAAAAGAAATAATTAGAAGCTTAAGAATGTTGATAATGCCGACAAAGAATCTATACGCCAAGTTGTACGCAAGTTTTACTAAGAAAACAAGGTTCCAACTTTAGAAATGGTTCGTAGCAAGTTACGGGCTTATCCTGATTATGAATATAATTCTCTAGACACATTGCGTAATATTTTGCTAGATTGTGGCTTCGAGTACAAAAAATGGAATAAAAGAATGGTCATGATGGAGTCATCTTGCATCGTAGCATGGCGGCAGGAGTAATTACGAAAACTTAAGAAATACCGCCAAACAAAAAGAAATACAATGCACCCTGATGAAACTTGGCTCCACACACATGATCTTGTTAAATATGGTTGGGGATGAAGCTAATAAGTGCTCTATAAAGGAACCTTGTTCTTGCGGTAAACGAGTTATCATTCTACACGCAGAAAGTAATAAGGGTTTTGTTACTAATGATCTTCTATTATCAGCTAAAAATATAAAACAGTCATCGACTACCACGAAGATAGAAGCGTCTCTTTGAAAAGTGATTTATTTAACAACTGCTGCCAAATCTTTTCCAAAATTCCGTTATTGTTATGGACAATGCGCCTTATCATTCCATCTACATAACAAAATTCCCAATAGCAGCATAAAGAAGGAAGACATTCTTAAATTCATGGAAAGTAAAAATATGGAAATTCCTGCAAAGGCTACCAAAAAAATGTTTTTGATAGCTATAAAGAAGAAAAATTTCAAAAAGAATATGTAATCGACAAGATATGCGAATCTCATGGCCATACTATTCTACGTGGTCTTCCCTATTATTACGAATTTAATCCGTTCAAGATGATTTATGCTGCTGTTTGTAACGGTTAAAACCGTTTTCGTTATTTGACCCAGACCCAGACCCGTTTTCGTTATTTTGAAACCAACATCTCTACACAAACGTCATTTGTCGTTTATGCCTTGTGTCAAAACTCGGGTTGTCATTTCGATTTACCTCTTTCATCGAACAAGTTGAATTATTGAATTTTAATTTGAACTTTATCTGGGACATCCGATGTACTAGTTATCTTAAATATTTTTAATAACCGTCTGTTTTTAAAAAGGTAAGTTTCCTACCGATATTTTGTTGAAAATATATATTAATTACAAGAATTTCTTTATTTAAATGTCAAATTTGAAACATAACCTCAACACATTGAAAAACACAAGAACGCATGTTTTATATAATTTAATATATTATTTTGTTTGAAATAGATAATATGCTTTACTATATTTAAATATGTTTCTTTTCCTATTAAATTTGGTCTCTGTGAAGCTATTCATTTAATAATTTAAATTATGCATTTGATAGTAAAAAGCATCTTATCTGTTCCTATATAAATTCTCCCCAATTCCTTTCTTTATATTTTTACCTTTTTCCTTGTAGTCTTGCTGTATACAGATGGTCCTAAAGAAATCCTATAGAAGTTATATAGATGGTTTCAGTAGAAGTCGATAGAAATTATATAGATGGTTCAGAAGTTCAATAGTAGCTGTATCTACATGAATTTTGGAAGAACGTACAAGCTGCATGTTAAGAAATTCGGAAGAACGTAGAATACATCAATGGTTTAGTTCAACCACCGAGAGAAGTTAACGAGATTTAACACTACCTTTGTAAATTTAACAAGAAGGCCTCTACAGTCACTCCTTACCTGTTAACTGTTATACCACAGATAAGTCAATAAATCATTTAAATTTGAATAATTAAGTCTCTGTGAATTAGAATTTGTCGCTACCTTATTTAATTATAATATCATAAAGATTAGTGATTTTCTTTATTTTCATCACTGATTGATTGTCAAGTCTAGAGAGTTTTAAATATAGTGGCGTCCAATATTTTTTTTAAGTCATATGAGTAAAAAAATAGATAAAATAATAAGATCATATTACATGTTAAAAATATAATTAATCTCCAACTGACAGTGCTTCCGTACTAGGAAATATACGAACAGTTATTAATGAAGTAAACGACAGTGGTAAATGGATGAAATGTGTCCAGCATGTCATAGAAAAGGAGAATGAATATTGTATTTTACCTTTCATTGGCCCTAAATTCAGACTCAAGCTCTAAAAATTCTGACAATGACTCTTAACTTTTTATTAAATTCTCATGGCTGGACTAACTGGTATTTTTTCTATTAAAAAAAAATATCCGTGTAGGAGTATATGAAGAATAAAATTAATTTTAAAAATAATTATTTCACGCCGACCATGCTATACAAAGATGCAGTCAACGATCGGTAGATATTTAGTATTATGCCATTCGAATTGACTTCGTATAGACTATAAGTATGCTGATGTCTCGCCTCACCAAGCTTAGGTCAGGTTCTATTCGAACCCTGCAAGGTCATGTCATTGTCATCAAAGCAACCTATTTGATGTTACATTCAAGGAAAGTGAGACTAAAAATAACTTCCTTGGATCTAGTTGGTGTAGGTTTTACGGTTCCTATTATGTTGAGACATACTATTCTTTGAAATTGTTCTAGTTAGTGTCTTATGATGGTCGTGTAACTCCATGTGACGACTCTGGGGTAGAGACCCCAGGCGTACTCAACGGTACGGTGCCACTTTTCATAAGCAATTTATGCCTATGACTAGGTTTTCATCTTGGTGTCAAAGGTGAGTCTTAGGTACTTCACCTATGTTGCAAAGTTGAGTTTTGTGTTTAGGAGCTCTGAAGGTTTTACTTCATTTTCGTTCAAACTTTCATAGTTGGCTAATTTTAAATTTGTCTTGTATTCGTAGGAAATAAGTCGTATAAAAAAGTAATTTTTTGTACCCATGTGATTATATCACTTGGTTTGCGCCTCATGTACAATATTTCAACCTGTGTAAAAAGTCACTAATTTAAAACTACTATTTCAAATTTTATTTATTAAAGCATTCATTATTAATAAACACATGATATTTTAAAAATTCTTTTAATTTAATTAAACATTAAACAAAATGAGGACCTGTACAACATAGCTTGCGTCAAGCTGGCAACGTAGTCCAGACTTTTCTTATTTTAAATACATTATCCTTTGCTATCTGTACTAAATTTTAACTGTGGCCTGATAAAACAATAAAGTAAAATAGTAACGTCATATAATATATAGATCTAAAAATTTGATATAGACGAGGACACATAAATAATGTTCTTAAAAAAATAACTTGTTTAATACATTAAAATACTAACCGTTATAGTATAAACATAACCATCAAAAATTTCTTCTGTTATTGATGCACAATGAAACTCATTCCATAATTTACATTGTGTTTCTGATAGAGCTATGATTTTCTCAAAAGGACCATAGGTTCCACGCCACCTTGAGTAGTAAGTATAAAAAATATTATATTCTTTTAAAATTCCAGTTGGTGGATAAGGTGGCATCCAACGTAAGGAGATGGAATCTTCGCCTCTGGTATAAACACTAAATGAGGATACGGAATTTGGAACTGAAAATAAAAAAAAGTTAGAAAAAAAGTTAAAAAAAGTTAAAAGTCCAAAGTTAGAAGTTATATCCATGCCAGTAATGTGGCCTAATCAGTAAGGAAAGGGGATTTATAACCACAAAGATTTATTATAAAAGACGAATAATTTCAAACAACGACCACAAGAATAAAAGTGAGTAATTTATAAAAATAGTGTGTTAGCTAATAATGACAATTTAATTGCTTTGCCATATTTTTAAGAAATGATCTTTACCCCAAGGAAAATATTTAGAAAATTAGATAATATTTATAAAATTTACTGTATCGCTCTTTAAAATGGAGACTGAAACTTTTATAGGAAAATTATATTCAGTTTTTCATAATAATTAGTTAATATTTACATGTTCCTCAGATTCTGGAACTTAATTCTGAAACATCCTGTATTTTATTTCGGGTATAAAAATAAATCCATCGACGCCCAAATGAATTGTATAGGTCGAATGACCGCTCTTACAGCCGCCTGCACCAGGACATAGTACATATCGTTAGTAATAGATGAAGGTAACGGCGAGAAGAGATATATCAGGATATATCCGCTTTTATAAATAGGTAGAATAAAGAAGAGATGTCAATTTACAGAAACAATATCAGTAGAAGTGACTAAATGTTTATTTCTACAGCGATCAGAAACCATGTCACTGACGGAAGGATGCTGCGGAAGGTTCCAAAAAATATTTCTTAGGTTACGGACACAACCAGGATCATCGACACTAACGATTAATAGCAGGCACAGCTCCGCGGTGCAACGTTTCCTTTTTTACCAAAATAGTTTTCTTCTACTACTGTTGGCCAACGTTAAAACGCGGTCGGATCATATTATTAGTTTTCTACTTGCTCTTAAACTAATTCCTACGCGATTGTGCAAAGAGTATTCGAACACTTTCATTGGCCGACACTGTCTAGCTAAAGAAATATTTTTTGAGCAGGATTTTCTTTGTAGGATTATAATTTATGATTTCAATAAATCTATATGGTGACAATTTAAAAACTTAAAATGGCTATATCTCATGAACAAAAGAAGGTATCAGAAAACTGAAACCTAATAAAAACAACTTATTTTGTACTACGACTGGAAATATTTAAATCAAAAAAACATGGCACCATCTTTTTAAATAAGTTTATTATTATTATTATTATTATTATTATTATTATTATGTACTATTAAGAGCAATCCAGTCCATTCTGACGTCACACCGCACGGATCTCACGACCTCCCCTTAAAGTATTTGGAACCTTATTCACTACATAAATTTGGCAATGTTGTGTGTCGTGCGCTGAAGAATAATCATATTGGGTAAGGTCCGATTACAATTACATGAACACAGGTATGTCATCAATTGGCGAAGTAATTCGTTGGCTATCGCCGCCTACTGGGGGTTTACTGGCTTGTTAATATTATAGGAATGTAGGAATACTATTTTTGAACCAAACAACTCAAATATTTATTTATTGATAGTTATAGATGATATACAGGGTGTCCCGAAATTAGACGGTCATATTTTAACAGCGTAATCTACATCCTAAAATAGTAGTTAAAGTTCATATAAACATTGGTCCGCAAACTTTTTTTTTTTTCGAGATACAGGGTGTTAAAAGTGAAGTCCTGATACAACACTTTTTATTTTCTAAACGTTTAAAGATAATTAGGTAAAATTTGTTACAAATACTTACCTTTTTACGCTTTATTTATTGGACTAAACCCCAGTTTTTGATCATCTTCTTAGGTGGGTAAATTAGGGGGAGCTTAGGGCAAAATTGCCGTGTGGGTCTCTATCCACCATAACTCATGAACCGATACACAGAAAAACACTAAATTTTAAACTTAAGCTTTATTTCAGCGTTCAATAAACTGATTTGATTTTGAGCAGAGTCGGAATATCTGGGGGGTACTTTAGAGGTGGTCATTTTTATATTTTATGGAATATATCTGTTATTTACGTTTGAAGGAGAAAATTATTTAAATAAAACTTACTTCCAATACTATTATCTATAATTTTTGTTCCATACAAAATTTTTCTAAAATGGTCCGTATTCGAGAAATTTGACAAAATGTAAAAAAAATTATTTTTCATAAAAATTGTTCAAATAAAAGTTGTTTGAAATATAATTCTCTATAATTTTTATTTTATACATAATTTCTCTAAAATGGACCGTATTCGAGATATTTGAGAAAATGTGTAAATTTTTAATTTTGAAGAAAACTCAAAAACGGATAAAGAAAAAAACATTAAATTTTAAACTTAAGTTTTATTTCGGCCTGACGTGAAATGAATAGGTTTTGGACATAGTCGGAACATTTGGGGAGGTACTTTATGGGAGGCCGTTTTTATATTTTATGTAATATATCTGTTATTTATGTTTGGAGAAGAAAATTGTCCAAATAAAAGTTACTTCTTATATTATTATCTATAATTTTTGCCTTATGTCAAAATTTCCTGAAATGGTCCGTATTCGAGAAAGTTGTTTTGCGATATCGATCTCTATAATTTTTGTTTACACATGATTTTTCTAAAATGGACCGTAATGGAAAAATTGTAGGAAAATTGCTAAATTTAAATTTTTCAGTATTTTCGTTTTCGAAACAGAAATTAACAAATTTAACTAAACAGCATTTACCCTTTTAACCACGGGCTTCATAGACTAGCAGCGTTTCCATATTCACTGATATCATTGTTTTAATAGAATTAGTATCGGAATGAAAACTATGTTAATCTTCGGTCCTGTTTAAAATTGGTAATCTTTTTGAAAAAAAGTAATTTAGAAAATAGTTAAGATATTTGTTATAGAATGACGCTAAAGAGCCAAACAATTAAATTTGTTAAAAAGTTGAAATTTTTGTTGTTTTTCTTTAAAAATATAAGTTTTTCACGATTTAGCGTCATTCTTGGTTCATTTTTAGAACGATTGCCCTGAACCATTATTTTTATTTTTTTTAACTGCCTCAAATGTAAAATTGATTTTTGGCGGAGGAGCGCCCGTCATTTTTGCTTTCATACTGTCTGGTATATACACAATTACGTTAACAGTTTCAGTCCGGTAAATAAGCTATTACACTGTATGGTTACTATCTCAGCATATGAATAATAACAAAATATATTTTCTCGCATAAGAATATCTTCTTGTACTAATTCTCTTTATTTTCCTTCTTACAATTCACAAACTGTTGAAATTCTTAAGCGAATCGCGTTTTTCATTTTAAAGTTTTTTTTTTTTTCATTTTTCTGATTTTGATACAAGTAATAAAAGTAATTTTTAAAAACCGATTTTAAAATCGAGCAGATGCCCTTATTTTTAATTTTCTTATCAATCTTAAGCCCCTGAACAATTGTACTTAATCATCCCTGAGGTATCCCCTTTCCAATAAAAAAAATCATAGAAATCGGACAACGTAGTAAAGAATTATAGCTAAAAATACATAAAAAAATGAAGAGATTGATGCATTTCTCATGGACCCTTCTTAGATCTTCACCAAATTTATATGAAACCACCCCTGAGGTACCCCCTATATGAAAAAAGAATCATAAAAATCGAGCAACGCAGTAAAGAATTATCGCTGAACATATTTAAAAAAAAAACAATATATTCCGACGGATTAAGAACCTCCTCCTTATATGAAGTCGGTTAAAAATTATAAATCCTCTGTCAACTTCTGCCATTTTCGAAATTAATATAACATATATCAAAACAAAACAGAAACAAAGTATGTATAAAAAGGTGATGCTATTTATTAGGTTCATACACAGAACATCAAAAGTGATAAATTGAACAATATTTTTATATAATTAAATAAAAAAGGCAGTATGAAATAAAATATCATACGTTACACGTACGTTAGGTGTTATTACATTAGGTAATCGTTTATTTTCAGCAACAACTCGTACTATAATATGTCACCTACCGAACTTGTAACGTAAAATACTATTTCGATTGAATGGCTCAGAGATAACAGGAGATGTAACTACGAACAAATATCGTGCTGTAGTAAATAAGACCTTCTAAAGGACACAGGAGGGTATATTAACCAATGCTGTCATTCCTATTTCATTATTCTCGTTTTGTTTACAAAATTAATTACATATCTAGAAGAAGCTAAAATACTTCAACCTATTTTATTGAAACTGACCCAGAAAAATTTTGAAGCATCAGTTATATCAAATCTAACTGAATTAGATGTACTTTCACTAAATAAGATGTAATAATTTTCAATAAATTCCAAAAACTATATAATGTTAAGTTGGATATCAAGTATTTGGTACTAGATGTATTAACAGGGCTTGCATCGGCTTGAATTTTCTACGTCGTTTATTATAAGCGCACAAGTGCTTACACATATATTCACTGATAACTTTTAAATGCCTAAAGGCAAACCGTAGACACGTGTTTCTGCCTATTGGTCTTCATCAGTACGTGCAGCCAAGTTCAAAAGAGAATGGAACTAGCGATGAAATAAAAACAACAGGAGATCACTCAAGGAGCCAACCACACATTTGTGAACTCGGCTATCGTTCCCAGTTCTTACTAGAAAAATATTAGCGTCGCCACAACCAATATCCAGAAGCACGTGTCTACGGTTTGCCTTTAGGCCTTTTTTATTTTCTGCGGTATCTGCCCAATATTCCTTTTATCTTCTTTATTTTTTTACCGCACTAAACCTCCTTCTCTTGTTTAGTTTCCCTGGGCTGGGATGTATCATCATGACGGCTGTAACTGCCTCCTATATTGCAGCTAGAGAAAATTTTCACGGCAAAAATTTTAAATGCCCTCATGTCAATGAAGCCTAATGCTGACCACTCTTAAGCTATCAGGACCAACTGGGCAGAATCGATTAAGATCTATTATATTATTTAGTACCTATTTTGTACTAATTTGTACCAATAACAAAAAGTTGTGCCGTGTTCAAAAAAAAAAAAAAATATGGCGCTGCTAGGTTAATATTAAGCTAACAGGACCACATTAAAAAAATA